ATTCGGTGGATATCCTGCATTCATGTAAGAAATATTGCGAGGCCATAGTTTTTGCTGTGTTCATGTCGCTTGTAGTCCAGGTAGAGCCATCTGTCTCGCGATAAAATCACCTCTACGAAAAGTTTCATTGTTCGTACAGTGATTGAGCTGAATCTGAACAAATCCCACGATCAGTCAAAACCGTTGGTGATTCCTAGCCAAACTTTAGCCATTTCGAGTTAAAATATAATAGAGATTCAGCGAACGACTAAATTCGAGTCTCAACTTTTGCAAATAGCAATATGAAATGCAGCATTGCAGCTGAAATCTCATCAGCAGCTGCACTGTTGATGAAGACGTTGCGCTACTGAATCTTTAAATAAGCTAGTGAACGGTTCAATTCAGAGTCTGTGGAAGTTTCTACTTCTGAAGCATCAAAATCGATCAAATTTACTTTTCTAGCTGTCATCTTTAGGTTTGACCACCGACTCGATACATATGCATATGTACATTTAGCGGATCAAACGAAACTCGAAAATAGTCTCCCCCGCGATTTTCATCAATGAGATATCAGCCGAATGAACGTGTTGTATTCAGAATCTGAATCGCGTACGACTGATTAAAGCCAAATTGAATTTCAGGTACCATATCGGTGGTGTATTTAATGTCGTTTGTCGCATCCAAAGCGTATGATTGTGGTATAAACGTGAACTTTTCCGATGCTAATTCCGAACATTTTGCTCAATGTAAGTGAATTTTAAGTGTTGGCAGTGCTACTTACTTCAATTAGCAGCCACATGATTATTAATAGCAACTGAATAGAAATATCACCGAGGGGATTAATGGCAACGATACCCTACTGAATATAATCAAGATAGCAGTGATTATATCATGGCAGTATTGAATAAATACAGTTTTGCTCTATTACATTAGCGGTTGCTGGACTTACATTTACAATCCTATTCTCAAGTGAAGTTTCGAGCCGAGTGAAAACTTTGAAAATTTTCCCATTTTTTTTGAGAATGTTATTTAATTCGTTGATCAGTATCAAGCGCATTTCTTTTTGCAGTGTTCAGATGGCGTTTTCCAGCGTTGACTGGCATACTGACGTTAGCGTATTTCTTACACAATATTATTCTGACGATTCTGCGCAATCAAAAGTATCCTGAGAACAACGTTCGACTCTCTTTTCATTCTTCATTTCTAATCAAACTTTTTATCAGTTCTTTCTGGTGCTTTCGCTGGATGCTAAGCGAATTATTCAGGGAAAAGCATTAAACAGTTGTATATTTTATCGTCTAAACTTCACACTCATTCGAAATTTTGGTTGACTGTTTCTGTTGGCATTCTTCAAGGTCACATATTATTGGTTATGTGAATTGCTTTATGAAAACATGTTAAGGTGCGTGATCTAACGGTGGGCTATTCGTTAGCCGCCTTCTCATTCATTTTCATTGGATCGCTTTTTTACCTGCTATTCCCAACGCACAGATCGTGCATATCAGATGTGAGTGGTTTGTGTTTTCAATTCAACGGACCCACAATCCTTCAGCACTAAATTAACTCATCCTCAGACTATCAATTTCATTTGTAGTTCCTTGAGATGCTCAATTGAGATGATGTTCACGACTCTAAATTCATTTTTTTTTTCGTTTATTTTACTCAAAATATACCATTTTCAGAATCTTCTCAATAATTTCGGTACTGGCGATGTGATGAGCGCAACAGCGCGTTTGTTTTTATTCTTTCAGATGACTACCGTATTACCGTTATTCGCGTATCTTGTACGAGTACAATTCTTTTACGCTGTTCTCGGCAATATCTATCCCGGGTAAGTACGCAAGTATTTTGCCGTATAGTCGTCACACATCTCATGCTTCATTCATCAGCAACGAATTCTTTCATTGGAAAGATTCGAAACCGCGTTTTTGATTCGTGAAAAACACTTGCCTCGCGTGCTTTGACTGATTGTGAGGATTTATCCTGAGATGCAGTTAGGTCGATTGCGGTCTTATGGATTCTGCTAGTGGCGGAGTAGCTGTTCCGCTGTTTCGTCAGTTATTAAAAATTAGCGAATAGCGCGCTATCGCCCATCTCTGGTATTCATCTGCATGCATGATAATCAGATACAAGCCAAATGATAGGCCGACTGCGAATCGATGACATTAGTGGTATTGTTGCACCATTCGGTGTCAAGGAAAGCTCTTTCGCGACGTGGCAGTTTCCAGTCGGATACTCTACGAACAGCTAAAAAAGAAACAGCCTCAAATTAACAATAAGAAGCGAATTCAGCACACATCGAAAGAAGAAATCCTCATTGAGCCATTCATTTTTCAGGTTCTTCTATGTTCTAGCACTCAACCTCGTACTGATTACTATGTCCACATGCACTGCGATTTTCTATCCGCATATCGGAAGTATTATCAGGTTCGTGCATTCTTGAATCTCCTAAATCTATTTCTTGATTATAAACTTGATCAGAACTTCATTTCGACTCTAACAATTCACCTTTCTCAACCTTTAGTGCTATATAGTATGGCATTTCATAATGAATTATTCACCGAAAGTTTATCACCATCGAACTATCGCATTTTCAGACTGCTGCATATTAGGTAGTACCAATCAGTACACTATAAGAATTTAATCCGCATAGTAAGAATCTGCATGTTAAAGAATTTAATCTTCAACATCAAGTGCATAGTAACTATCGAATATGACTAGAAGTGCTAACTGAACTACATCAAAAAATTAACCTAATAATGCATTTCTGAATGAAATCTTGACATTTGACAATTTGCAAATTTTCTCACGTGATTTGTTTAGACCATTTTTTTGTACGTATGCATTCAGTGAAGACAGTTTACTCAATTTTAGATTCGTTGGTTCGTTTTCGGGTCTTATCTATATATTCACGCTTCCATGTGCAATACATTTGAAACGTCTCCAGTTGCGTGGCACATTAACACGGCTGGATTGCGTTGTACATGGAACAATTGTTGCGTTGGGTGCTGCAAATTTTCTCGTCCAATTCTTCCTTTGAGAGGAAACATTTTAATCGAAATTCTAAGTATTATCAAAATGCGCTGCATTGCTAACGGGCGACTCAATTAACTATTAATGACAGTGCTAATGTCAATGCAGCCAGTAGTAATTGTTACGGGATAATAGCCATATTAATAATATCACTGTAAAGCATTTCATTAACTTTTTTTTTTCATCAAACAATTGCACCAGTGTGTTGTGATCGTGCAAAAGAATTAATTCTTTGTTTCGAATCAGAATCAAATTTCCGAAATTTGAACGATGTAAACATTTTTCAATTTGTTTTCTTAACTGACATTCCTTTTTTCTGCTGCATTTTTTTTAAGGTCAAGTGCCTTAAATTTTCGATAATTCAGTCTTTTAATGTGTTAAATTTATGTTGTAATTTGTAAATTGTTTTTTTGACTTTATATTTCATTGGTGGTATTTTTTCGTGTCGAAGAAGAGACCAGTAATTTGTTCGTTCCTTTCATGTTTATTTATTTATTTAATGGTAACAATTTTCTCGTCGTTTTTCGTTAACAATAGCTAATGGACAGTGTTATTTCTGTGGAACGGAATAATTTCGTGTTTTTGAGTTTTTCTTCCAGATTACTTCCGAAAGGCATTACGCAAAAGTTGACCCCAATCGCTTTTTGGTGATTAACATTGTGCGGTTTTCATTCCTTCTCCTTTTCCTATCATAACAAATCCAAGCTATAAACCTCCACTCATTTCACATCGAATCTATTAGAACCGTTAGAAAGTTGTTCCGTTAGCATTTACCGTTCATTTTTTCGCACATCCTCACCGAAGGAGCTTAAGTTGAATTCATTGAATGCGTTCACTTGGAGTATTTATATACTGCATTTCATTCCATAAAAAATCGAGATTATTTAATTTCATCAACAACTATAAACTCATAACTGATCTTATCGTACACCTGAAAGCATTTTCACATCGCTAGCTAGTTTTAGCTTCGTGATGATCTATTTTTGTATCAAAAATGTATGTCGTATCGTAATTTGTGAAATTTAGTATTCTCCAAAAAGTCGGTCGAAACATAACATTTAACTAGGTTCTCCTTTGCACCTAAAAACAAGAAATCAATTCAAACAAATGCAACAAGAACAATTATTATTATAATTATCACGATCAATATGATAAATTACGACGGCTATAACATTTGTTTGATGTGTAACTCAATGGCATTGAATAGCATCAATAAGTACGAAACAAATAAAATAAAGTGATGATACAATATACCAGGTTGATTCGGACTTCTTGTCGCCATTCAAACAATTGCGATGTCATCAGTCCTTGCGTTAATCAAGAAGAATATGTTAAGGGTGGAAAAGAAGATTTGATGTGATTAAGCAAATAAATGAATAAATAAACAAAAACAATAACATTCAACGATAATTTAACAATGAATCAATTTAACACA